TGTGTGTGTGTGTGTGTGTGTGTGTGTGTGTGTGTGTGTGTGTGTGTGTGTGTGTGTGTGTGTGTGTGTGAGAGTGCATTAAATAACCCCTATCTTTCACTTCTTACTTGTTGTAGGTGCTCCAGGGGGAAAGAAGGTGGCTATTAAAAAGGTATCGATGTGCTGCTTCAGCATGACACTCATGCATATGTCTGTGTTCTTTTGTGTCCAGTGTGCAGGGCGGGCTTCTACAAATCGAATCTTGGAAATATGGAGTGTTCCAAGTGTCCGCCTCATAGTTTCTCTCACCACGAGGGGTCGCTGCACTGTGGCTGTGAGAAAAACTACTTCCGTGCCGAGGGAGACCCTGCATCCATGGCCTGTACCCGTAAGTGTGCCTTCATATTAAAGTTATAATTTCAGCAGCATTTGGAACCATCTGATGAGGGGTCAGTGACATCCTGATACAGTGCAGGTTCCTCCCTTTCTGCAGATACTCGTGTACTTTTTCTATGAGATAGCCCAGAGACCAGAGGAGCCCTCCAATGTGATATGGGAGGATTTTCTCATAGCCCATATCACATGCTATATGAATCATATATTCACATCGCCTTTAAGAGATGCTGAAACCCATTCATTTGGCTGTCATTGTGTTTTAGATTATTTTCACACTTTGCAAAATAACGTTTCTGTCCAAATCAAATTTATTTATATACCCCAACATTACAAATTACACATTTGTCTCATACAGCATGTGACACCATCTGTTCTTGGACCCTTGCAGGGGAAAAAGAAAAGTCCCTCCCAAAAAAACACAATTAATGGAATTTTTTTTTGAAGAAACCTCAGGGAGAGGAGGGATCCATCTGTTAGGATGAACAGACAGAGTATAGATGTTGTGTTTATGACAAAATAGACATTAAAAATGACAACAATAATAATGGGAATGGCACTGGATGGACAAGAAAGAAGATATCTCATGAAAAACGATATTGCGTTTATGCATTTAATGTGCAAATTGAATCCAGAAGCTTCTACTGGTTCTGATGGAAAGAGCCTAACAGTGTTTTCAGGGTATTGTTCTACTCAGTGGGATTTCATTTATAGTTGGAATTGTACAGATAATCCAATTGAAGATTCCCTATTCACCAGTAAAATATATTACAAACAGACCAAGAACATTCCTTATTTATTTAAAGGTCACCAAAGCCATGATTGCTCAAGAACATTTGATCACCTTTACAGCTCTCTACATGATTCTCTTGTGTCCTCCTCTGATGCAAATGGACTGCAGATGCCTCCTGCAGCAAGCTTTCCAAAAAGCATTCCCTGTAAAACGATAAATCACTGCATTCCCTGATGTCAGGTTGTGGAGATATCCGTTACTAAACGGGCTAGGAAGAAGAAGAAGTGCTTGCACCGTGTGGAGGACAGTACAACATGCAAATGGACGCCCTGAGACAGACAGACTCCTAATTAGAAAGGCAGTCACGGCATGTCCCTGTTGTGATTATCTCGACGCCATCTTGTCAACTAGGCAAATTCCACCTCATTGGGACAGATTGAGTGACGTGGGGCCTGCAAATGAATAGATAAGTTCTTAGGAGATAATGATCATGATTATACTGTTAGCGGTGGGATAGAGGTTGTTTAGAACTGACTCTGGAAAACTGAAAATGTTGGCAGGAAGTAAGAGAACTAAACTCTTATGACGAACAATGAAGAAAAACACACTTGAATCCGTATGGTATTTTCTGCTGTATTCAACATGGGACACTTATGAAACAGCTGTTGCAGCAGTGTATAAGGTATAGTACTCCCAAGAATTCAGTTCCACCAATTAAAAATGCATCAATACACCCCCTCCGTCCCAGAGCACCTCCTTCAATTTTAAACAAAAATGTGCTGGTCTTCCTGTCTGAGCATCACCAACAATGTAACTTGTGAACAAACTCAGGGAAATCCCTTTTTTCAAGTCACCTCCAGAGGCTGGAATGGGCCTAAAGAGAATTACCAAAACACAAGTGTCTTTGTGAGGGATTGGAGATTACGCACACATCCTCTGGTTTTACGCTCCGTAACTCATGTCACATGTTAATCTCGATGTATTATTTTGACTTTTCGGAATTAGTGTATGATTGGCTGCATGTGTACATGTGCATGCCTGTGCAGGTATACCTTGTATGCATTACAGGGCCAAGAGTTTGATGTGGTCAGGAGAGTTAGCTGTGTCGGTGAGCCAGAGGACTGTCAGGGTTAGTGTTAGTTTAGCAAAGAAAATATCATCTCATGATTACCAATACACAAAGTAGGGTGACATATACATACAGTTGGGTGCAATAATTAGTTGTTTTCTCTCTGTTAGTGGAAGGATTAATAGTTTTTAATGGTTTATCTGAACAATTCATTTGTGATTATTGCGAGAATTCCCTTGATTGTTTGTTCTGATGGTCAATAGTTGAGAAAGATTTCACATGTATTATGAGATACGCTGCCTGTTGAACTTTTAATCAAATGTGCCTCATTAAATTGTGTTTAAATATAGAAACAGGACTTACTACTCTAAAGATTTGGTGATTTTGGTGAGGCTTAAGAAAAAGCTTTATAGTTCTAAAACTATTCATAATCATACATCGTGTTGATTTGCTATATAAATGAAACTGGTATCCAAAAATGCAATAGCCAATACTTAGATTGCTCCTCCAGTATGACCTATTTGTGTATTTAACTCATTTTATTAAGCTTTTTCAATAAGAAACCTGCTTAGGGCAGATCAATCAGTCCAGGAGCTGCAGAAATGAGTCATGCTGACATGACTTCTTAAGAAATGCTCAATTTAGTTCTGAGAGAATTTCAAATACCCTTACGTATTTTCTGATGTTGGTATATTTTCTTCTGATTTCTCTCTTGTACAACACAATTACAGACTCTAATGCAGATTACCAGGAGACAGGAGCTATGCATAGTTTGAGAGTGAAGTAATTTCTTGTCGAATCAAACAAACCAAACAAAGCGTTTTATCTCAAGGCACAATCCACTAAGCCCATTTCCCTCCTCTCCTACTGCAACTTCTCAACAGAGTAACTTGGCAGTTTTGTTTTGTTCTCCATGTAATTACAGCCATAGCTTTGATATACAAATCTGGAAACATTCAAAAGGGATCTGTTTGTAATAAGACGTTTTTACTTTTATATGTCAGTCTTTTATATGTCAGAGTTTGACAGTCTGTTTTTCTATCGAAGAGGCTGTGTCATGCCATTTTCTTCTTTTACTGAACGAAAAAGAGGAAAACAGATGCATACACACACACACTCATATTCACTCAACCATGATATCACCGTATAATTAAACTACAATAACAGAGGTTGAGAATACATTGTGCAGCATTTATTGCAATTTTCTTCAGTAAAGATCTCCAAGTAGGTACACTTCCTTTGCACTCTAAAGACCCATTTACATGGCCAGTTTCTTCCTGGAAAACTCACTTCCTGGAAAAAAACAGCAAACCTTTTTAGAGGAATGTCTATTTTTTTATATAATCCCTTGTTTTTAGTAAGCTACATTGAACAACACAACAGATGACTTTGCTGTTAAAGCTCCCCTATTATAGTCTTTTTCATCAATATATTATAGGTCTCAGATATATACAAAACATGTCTCTGAAGTGTTTGGCTCCAAATACCCAACAGATCATGCATTGCAGCATTGCCCATAATCCCCTCTGTTTCAGCCCTGCTTCAAAAGTGCTGATTCTCTGTCTGTTACTTTAGATGAAAAATAAGGAGCCCCTCCCCACGCCCCTCTGAGAGATATTTCGTTAGAAAGAACACAATGGTGCTCTAGGAGGAGATTCAGGTGATAAGGAGGGGGGGGGTTAACTTGGTTGGTGATTGGCTAATGGTTACTCAAGCCAAAAAATCGTTATAACATCACAAAGTGGCCAAAATCTGATCAGCTCATTTTCAGACAGGTTTTTATATAAATGGATCAGGACAAAAATAGAGAGAATCTTTTTTCCTGAAACTTTCATAATCTCTTTACACAGAGGGGACACATGTTGATGTATAAAATACATGAACAAGTGGATTTTGCATAATTGGTGACCTTTAAATCTTATTCCATCTAATGTCATACTTCTGTTTGAAGTTGGCACTATTTTCCACCTCAACGTTATTTGCTTTCTTCTCTTTCCTTTTCTACTAATTACCTTGCTTTCTACCTTATTTTTCTATCCAAACCAAACGTTTCTTTCATCCCTTAATGACATCATCCTCCTTTTCCCACCTCCTCTCTTTCTTTTCAATGTCTACCAGGACCCCCTTCAGCTCCTCGAAATGTCATCTCCTCCATCAACGAGACTTCGGTCATCCTGGACTGGAGCTGGCCGGAGGACGCCGGCGGCCGCAGGGACATCACCTTCAATGTCCTCTGCAAGCGCTGCCGGGGGGTGGCTTCTAACGGCAGTAACGGCGGCAACCTGCGCTGTGAGCCGTGCCGGAGCAATGTTCACTTCCTGCCCAGAGCCGCGGGCCTCCACAACACCACGGTGACGGTGGGCGACCTGTTAGCCCACACCAACTACACCTTTGAGATTGAAGCGTTGAGCGGGGTGTCATCGCTGGCACCCAAGATGAGACAGTACGCCGCTGTCACCATCACCACCAACCAAGCTGGTGAGATGTCACAACAGATGGATACATGGATGAAGGCATACACTCAGAAAATCAGATAGATATACTTTAGTCTAAAGCAATCTTTTTAGAGCACAAATGATCAAATCTCAGCTTTTTTCTCCAAATTACCTCTGTTTGAGGTGAACCAACCACTGAATCTGAATGGCTCATCAAGCAAAAACCTTTTTAGATGAAAATCTCAAACTTGCAACATTTAGTCTGGCTTTAATTTCAGTTCAAGAGGTTTAAGTTTCAGGGTTTACACCATAAGAGTCCAGACACTAGGTTTATAGAGGGCTGTGTGGTCTTAATGCATGAAGAAACATCACTGTTTATTTAAAATATCACTGATTGTAAAACCACAAATGTATAACTAAAAAAAAAACGTATCTAACACATGGATATTATACATGTTTCTTTCTCTAAACTATGCCCTTTCTCCCTCTTAATACTTGTATCATATATTACAGTACACTTCCCGAAGTCCATTTGCTCCAAACACATGCACTCCAACCATCAGCCCTGGACATTTACAAGGCGATCCCAGACCACTATTCTCTAGTTTAACAACCAGGATTATATATCTTCCTTCATCCAAAAAAGACATTCTCATCCATTTAACAGTAACTCCTAACTTAACGGTTGGGTCCCATCAATCTTTAATACAAATATCTCTCCACACATCCAGTCCTTAGACGAATATGAGGTCAAATGGAAGTGGTGTTTTGAAATTCCAAGAGTAAAACAAATCTAGTTGCAGTAGAAAGCGCCAAACCTCAGAAATCTCTAACTCGATCAAGGAATGCGCAAAGGACTGGCTGTACTGCATCCATTTATCCTTTTCCCGATCCCTCACTGTTCTCTTACAGTTTGCCTTTGTGTTGGGTAATATTTCTGTGTCAGCAGGTTAGCATTTTGTTTTGGATTTCCTCTCAATCATTATCTCTCTCTCCATCTAGAACAGGATCTTTATTTCTACCTGTCCCTTTCCAAACCCAGCCTGCTGTTTTCTTCTTCTTGTGGGGCATTTTGTTTCTACTTCCAAACCTTGGGAGGCGGTTTAGCACTTGGGAGTTGCTCTCCTTGGTTGTCATACAGCGAGGTCAGGCACTATATAACTTTTTTGATGATAGGCAGATGGCAAGAGCTATGAATTTAAACCTAGTGGTCAAAGCAGCTATGTCGAGAAGTATCGGGATTCAAGACTATTGTTTGTTTTCTTTTACATTTAGACATGGAAACTCCTTGAATCTGCTTTATTTCATGATACTAGAGCTGCTTTGATTTACAATATCAGTGAGGCAAGACACATTTGTCCAAATCAAGGCAAGACTTAGAACTTTATTATTTCTGCAATCAATTTAGCATAGAGTGTGAAGAGTGTGCAAACACATATGTACACGCACTGTAAGGGTAGATCATACATGAGTAAACTCCCCAAGGAAGACACATGTCAGGGTGATGAATATGCAAATGTGAAAGGTTGTGTGTGAACACAATACATACACAGACAGATATAGGCAGTGTTTGCTCTCTGTTGACAAACCTTGACTGTATTAGACATGACAAGGTCCAGACATGACCTCTTTAAAGTGACAGGGCAGCGATGAGAGGTAAATATAGATTGTGTGCTTGTTCACGTACAGTACGTGCACATGTCAAGCCTGAATATTAGTCAGGACTCAAATTGTATGTTGCTATGAGGGGAAAGGGAAATGCAGATTTTAAATAATACTAATTTAACCTAACATTGGTTTTCTCTACATTACACCTTTATTATACATTAAAACATCCATATTACAGAACTATTAAACTGTAATTACACCCGTATTACTCCCATATTACACCCATGTTACACCATTATTTCAGCCATAATGACCCATTTTAAACTGTTATTACATCCATATTACACATTGATACATCCCGATTACAGCCCTTTTTACCGTAATTACACCACTGTTACACACTTATTATACCCATGGTACACCCATGGCATACCCATGTTAAACCCATGTTATACTGTTATAACACCCATAATTCCCTGTTTTTAGACACATATTACATCCATGTAACACCAATATTACACTGCTGTTACACCCCTTTTACACCAGGACACACCCTGTCAAATGACTGTACCCCAAAGGGTTAAAAGGAAAAAAGGTGTAGCAAAGCTTTGGAGTCTTTTATTAGTAGACGTTATAATTTGCATGGTAACTCAAGGGGTTTCTTCTTGTGATCGGCATATATATTACATTAGAAGAGGGCTTATCAACACTAAGAGGGCAGTGTGTGCTCTGAACATTGAAAACCATCTTTAATGTTAAAACGATCACAATATAAGATGAATCCCCGTCTTTGCGTATCATAGATCTAGCAGACACACTTTACCACCATACCCACGTTCTCCACACACACACACACACACACACACACACACACACACACACACACACACACACACACACACACACACACACACACACACACACACACACACACACACACACACACACACACACAGCCCTCTCCAACCAATATATCCGCCTGCAGCTGCACACTCTCCATCAGCCCTGAGAGTTTACAAGGATTAGATATGTCAGTGCGCCAGCCCCACCCGTCAGCGTACACTTTCTCTCACATAAACACACACACATACACACACACACACACACACACACACACACACACACACACACACACACACACACACACACACACACACACACACACACACACACACATAGACGTACAGATGCCAATGCTGTTAAAAGCTGGATTAAGTGTGTCCCTGGGAAGGTACTGTCTGTCCTGGCTGTGCTGTCAAGGTGCTGTCAGGTAGCACCTTCCACATCCTTTGCCCTACACTCTGTCATGAAATAAAGAGTGTGTGATCTACATTTAGAGAAGTGTAATATCAACAGTTTAAAAAAGTGGCTGCACTTCGCCAAGGGGGTCTAACAAGAAAAAGATGCATGCGCATACAGGACGCTTGCTTTTAGGTGATCATACTTACATTTTGCGAAACAATGTGTCAATACTTCATCCGATTTGATGATCAATAAGATGACGTTTCAAGGTGGTAAAGATCAACAGCTGTGCAGTCCAAGAGAATGTGCACCAAAATGGTTTCATAAGAAAATGGAGATGCACAAATAAAAAGATAACAAGCAAACAGAAAACAAGAAGAGATAGATAGCAAAGCTGTTTCATTGGATAGCTTCGCTTTACATTGAGTTCTATGTTACTGCCAATAATCCACTCCCAATGGTCCGCAAGTGTTGTAGACAATTCATAGATGTGCTTCAACCAGCTGCGTTGTGTCCCTTGCATCACAGCTGAATGATACTGATGGCCACTTTTTAAGGCCGTTATGGGCTTGGTTTGCTGTATCAGTTTTACGGTTATACCACGGACTGAAACCGAGAGTGACAGCAAATGAAGTGCTCTGCGATAGACATGCAGAGGGAGCGATAGAAAGAGAGAGGGAAGCAAGGAGAAGGAAAAGGAGGAGGAGAGGAAGTCCAAGCTGCCTCCAAGCGGCCCAGACACAGTAAATCATTACCACCATAAACCACAGAGCCAATAAAAAGCACAGCCTCACCCCGTATCAACGAGAGGGAGGGGATGAGAGGAGGAGCAGGGGGTATAGAAACAGATTCTTCCCATCTGGATTCATTACAGGAGAAAAAATAACTTCCCGCGGAAATAAGCGTGAGTACACAGACGCACACTCCACAGCCATATAATCACAATCAAGAAAGGCTCGAACATTTCAAAGACAAACATGTTTTTTCCTGTGGTCTAATAAAATTAAAAGTCGATGCCTCAGATGCCGAGCTGGCCCTGGAGCTGCCTGGCAATTAGAGAGCAGTAAAAAAGGGAAATGAGAAAGGGAGTGAAGAGAGAGAGAGAGAATGAGGGAGGGATGCAGGGCTTGATAGAGACGTGCTGAATTACTAGATTGAGACCATCTGAACTCCCCCAGGCAATGCATGGTGAGGATGGGTGAGGAATATCAGTAAGTGCGTCTTACCAAAAGGGACAGGACTTGGAAAAGTATTTCAAAATAAAACGCGTTTTTGAGAAATGCACACAAAACATTCTACGCAACAATAAACACTAAAGGACACACCAGTGTACTTCATCTTAAGTTACGCAGTACGAGCAGGAACTAAATGATTGAAAAGGACTTTGATATCCTCATCAGATCCACATACTTACTGTGATAGACAAGCATAGCATTGCTTTTCTTCATTTTAATGATATTTCCAAGTGATTCCTCCCGGAATGAAAACATTTAAAAACATCCAATCCATCACTTCATACTTGCTTGAGTTATACAGCAATCGACTGTCTAAAAATAAATATTCCATGTGAAAAGAAACTAGTTTTAAAGTCCTTTCATGCCCAAAACAGAAGAGACAACAACATCACTGACAGTCTTCTGCTGCCACTAGCAGTATTGAACACAACATAAAACTCAACATTTGATTTAATTATTAAAATGGATAATGTTTGTTTTGATGAGATAAAGCTGAATCATGTGACCTAAGCACTATCTCTCGCATCACTCTCGCAGAGGGCTACTGAATGTGACTGATCTCAATATCATATTTCTTTGACCAATTATTCACTGTTTGTGTGTGTGTGTGTGTGTGTGTGTGTGTGTGTGTGTGTGTGTGTGTGTGTGTGTGTGTGTGTGTGTGTGTGTGTGTGTGTGTGTGTGTGTGCGTGTGCGTGTGCGTGTGTGTGTGTGTGTTTACCAGCCAGTGTTTGCATTAGTGTACATGGTCTCGTCCCACCCACCATCTCCAGGCCTCAGCCTTTAATGCGGCCCCACTGGGCAGCAAACTGAATTAGGCTAACAGGAACCATAGACAATTGCCAGGATGCAACACCGGGGGACTGAACTTCCACTGAACCTCACTCACTCTCTCTCTTTCTTTCTTCCTGTCTGTGTGTGTCCTTGTCTACCACCCAGCTCCCTCCCCGGTGACAGTGATCAGAAAGGAGAAGACGTCTCGAAACAGCGTCTCCCTGTCTTGGCAACGGCCAGAGAGACCCAACGGCATTATCCTCGACTACGAGATAAAATACTACGAAAAGGTTGGTGCACAATATATCACTGTTAATGCATTGCTTCGTGTTCCTTTGAGCAGGGCAGCATCACAAACTGGAGTTCTTAAAGGCATAGTTGTGGAAAATATGCTCTTTTGCGACTTTGGTAAGAACATTCATTCTGATATCTGCCTGGTCCAAATAAGGCTAATGTTACTATAAACTTTAACATGTGTTGATAAGTTTGCTCTGGAGTTGCAGTTGATTTTGTTATTATTAGTCAGGCAAGCTGTTTCACTTAGATGGAAAAACATTCATTCCTATGAAATGTGCTTCTTCGGTGCACACGGTTGAAAAGTCTTAAGAATTCCTTCTTCTGCATTTTTAGGCCGATTGAGCATGTTCAGTAGGTTCCTTCTTCAGGCATGTTCAAAGTTTCCTCTGAATGAACACATGAATTACATGAAATAATAACTTTCCAAAGTCAATGTTTACAGCCGCTAATTTTCTAATGATTGTGCATGGGAAGTTATGCTTCAGATGTAGCTAAACAAGGGTTTTCACTACCCAAAAATGCCCTTTTTGCTAAGTCTAACTGTGTGATTAATTACCAGATAAATGTGAGAATGGTATGGTATAGGAACTGTAGTGTTATCCCTTAACACTACAGTCCCTTATTCCCTCAAACATAAAATAAATTTGGGTTTAAATCTTTAGCATGAGACTGATGTTGCCCATTATCTCACTTTAACAAGCCAAACAGGTTCTCGTGTTTTTTTGTTTTTTTTCTCAATCTGCATCCCATAACTCCCTTCTCCTTTTCTTACCACCCCGCCAGTCTTTTCAACTGTTTGTCTCTCTTTCTTCATTCCCCTGCCTCATACTCTTCCCCTCCTCCCTTTGTGTTTACCTCGCATCTCTCTTTTTTTCATCTCCCCCTCCTCTAGTTCTCATCCTGTCCTCCTCATCTCTCCAGTCCTCCTAATGGAGACAAGTTTTATGGCAGACAGTAAATGTGTCTGTGGGGTCGCTCATTCCTCTGTGAGAGAAATTAGTGCAGAACGAATTACACTGGCTTTCAGCATCAATGCTGTGCTATGGCTGACATTTGGTGGTGAAATTAGCCGTGGATGCAAGTTTAATTACTCTGGCAGATTTGTGTGTGTGTGTGTGTGTGTGTGTGTGTGTGTGTGTGTGTGTGTGTGTGTGTGTGTGTGTATGTGTGTGTCCCAGATCACAGTTTGCTTGAATGCCAACAGTGGCCCCTAATCTCTTGATTAGTAGGCCGACAGAAGCAGTTTCCTCTCTAAACTCTGTTCCCTGCTCAGCCATCCTTACCTAAGATGTTAAAACGTAAAACAGCGAGAGGAGAAGTTAATGACTGATCCTGGGTCAGAGCTCACTGCATGTCTAATTCTCAGCTGTGTTCTTTCAATCGCACACATTCTCGCACATTACAAATGCATATTCATCGGGACAAGATAGGGCAATGAATGAAAGGGTGGAGTTTAAGGAAGAGTGTGTGTGACACAGTTTTGTAATGAGGAATCTCTTGGCCTTTGCGCTGATCCACGTTAATCACATTGTCTCTCATGAATTACTGGAGACACTCGGAGACAGACACACAAACAAATACGTTCCCATAGGATTCTCCACAGCAGCCATACATCCCCAGGGATTTTAAACCCCAGACAAAAGGCTGTTCCATGCAGAAGAGCAAACTGGGACAACCAGGGTAGACCCCCATAATAAACCCAGGATAGAGGCCCCTTCTGGTGGCAGGCAGAGGGACGCTGAGCGCCTCCAGCTTGCCAAGGGCCGAGGCCATAAGAGGGCAAGAGTTGGAGCACAACTTCCCATCACCAAGACCACACCATGACTCACTTATGAGCCAGAAAGAGGCTTTTAGAGACACATATACTCAGACACACAGAGATATAATTGTAGGAACGCATAAACAGGATGGTAAAACAGAATTCAAAAACAGACTGAGAGAGATTATAGCAGAAGCTTTTAGCAGGAAGATGTTCAGATCTGCAGCATCAGCCAGGCTTTCTGCTTTTATGTGTTTGTGGTTTCCTTCTTCTTTATTTACACAAGACATACACAGTGTACATTATCATGTAACCCAATATCAATATACCGATGACTCCAGCTTCTCTTAGAAAAATGAACATTTCGCCAACAACCACACAACATCATTCAAAGCTAAAATATATCTGTATGGTAGATGAATTATGCTATGCATGGACCAAGAGACTTCTGGAGAGAAACCAATGGCGGACATGGAATGACCTTACAGTTCAGTTTTTCTTTGTGAGGTCTAAACATCAAGATTTGTTTTGTCCTGTGAGCCGAATGTGGGATGACCATTTTAGTTAAATTGTGTATTTCATTGGTATAGTTAAGGGCTTTACAGTGTGAGGCAGAACCCAAATACTAATTATTTCAAGTCATTTAGTATCTTAATGCTCTGTGCTGATTGGACGTCTTATCCTTAAACAAAATTAACCAGTTGTGCACAACCGTTCTGGCAAATGTTGAAAACATGGACTTATAATTCTCCCAGGGGTATCCCAATCAATCATATACTGTAACACACACAGTAATTAAATTAAATTCAAATATCTGTATTGACGTGACCATAATGACATACAGTATTGCCAAAGCTTTGTACAATTACGACATCTAAATATTTGGAATGTAGGGTTATGTTCACACACATTTAAAAGAACATAAAACGGACTCATTCGAGGCTCCAGTAGCATTAATAACCTTTAATGTACACGGCACATGCTGTTTCTTAAGTTACACAAAATATATAAAAAATGTTGAACAACTGGAATCTTCACATATTCATTGTTATATTTTTAGCCTTCAGGGAAGTTACATTTATTCGAAAAAATACTCATACCAAATATTTCATAAATACTATGTTGAGTAGGTTCAACAAAATGTATGTTTTATACCAAAAGAAAAGGTAAACAGTATTTTCCCCCTCCCTTTCCACTAACACATACCACTCTGTCACACGGTCGTGAAACCAGAGGCTCCGGTTTCCAAAGTGCAATGGCTGATCCTGAACTGTGTGTCCTATCTAGTATGGGAACCTTTAGAGAATGTTTGGTGATATTCTTGGGAATTCCCAACGAAAAAACTTCCAAGAAAAAATGAGAGGTGTTTCATCTAGCTGCGTGATCTTCTTGTCGCTTACACCGGCTAAAGGGGCGCTCCGCAGCCAATAAGGCATTTTCAAGTGCACTTTGTCGAAATAGAATTTGTGGGAATACGCTTTGCTGATTGTTTTTGCATGTTTTATCACAGCAATCTAAAGAGCAAAGAGAGAGCTTTCGATTGGCTTTAATTTGGGATGTTTATTTAGTCTAAGAAGGAAGGAATGCTGCCTGAAACACTGTATTTACAAGACTTCTGCTGTGCATCTCCTGTTTTCGGGTCTGAAGGAGTTTGCATCCATGCATGTGTGTATGTGCGTGTGATACTGTGTGTGTGTTATACAATCTATAATTTGCTACAGCTCTGTTTAGATTGTCGAAGCAGAAAGCAGCTCAGAGGCCATCTTACATTCTAGCAGTGCTCTGGTGACACCCACACAAACACACACACACACACACACAGAACTGGATGGTTCAGAATCGCACAACTTGTCGGGCTGCAGTGAAGAGACGTGTCAGACCCATGTTTCTTTCTCTGTTTCCACACACACACACACACACACACACACACACACACACACACACACACACACACACACACACACACACACACACACACACGAAGGTGCTCTAGCCACACCTGTGTGTGATTTCCAGGGG